TTGGCTCGGTGACAGATGTTCGCGGCCGATGATCATGCGGTTCATTCTCCACGCGCTCTCTGCCCTCTCTGAAGCACTTACACCACTCAAACACACGGGTCCATGAGATACACTCTTCCCCATACTGTTGTTGGAGTGTGTGGTGAATTTCAGCTGACAGAACATTTCCTCCAACGAGGAATTTGATTATAATGCGTTGTTCCATGCTCCGCAGTACCTTCTGTTCACTCATAACTCTAGCAACTTCCAGACAGGACCAAACAGATTCTAACCCTAACAGGAGGGAGGGTGGAGGTTGTGGCTTCACTCTCTCAAGGTCGGACAGCTGCTGCACAGTGCGGCTTGTTTACAAAAAAAATCAGTCCCGGTCATATTTGAACCACCTAGTACATAAATTTTATTATTATATAAGGACATATACAAATTTTATATTTGTAAATGGACATATAAAGGCAAGCAGTGAAATGGTTGATGGATCGATACACCTGAAGATGGCAGCATACTGCCGAAACATGTAGTGTAGAAGTGATAAATGAGATTGTATGCACTTGAAGACTGTTAATACAGAATACAAATTATGAATATGAATCAGTGCAACAGGACGCTAAAATAGAACATAGTTCATTACCATGTTCATGAGAGTCCTCCACCACTCCCTATCCAGCGCCAGATCAGTCTAGTCCGTACCACCCCATCCTGTCTCTCTAAGATCAATTTAAATATTATCTAACAACCTATGTCTTGGTCTTCCTAGTGGTCTATTTTTATTCTGGCTTTCCAAATGATCCTGTATTATCAAAGTATCCGTCAATAATGCAACAGTTTAAAAGACATTAGGAATATGTTTCACACTAAAAATGTATTTCAACACTTTTTGATGTTGTTAAAATCAGTACAAGTCAATAGGAAATTAAAAGCACATTCTATACATTAAAAATGATTTTCCAATTTTCTAAATGTCTTTAATCATATATTTGTTCTAATTTTCAACACTGATTTTCCCACCGATATCCTATATGCATTCCTCTTTGTCCAATTCATGCTACATGCCCTGCTCATCTTGTTCTGCTTGACTTGATCATTCTAATTATACTTGGCAAACAGTTCAAGTTATGAGGCTCCACTCCAGCCTCCTGTCACTTTATCTCTCTTCAGTCCATGTTTCTCCATTCATGTAAGAGACCAAGTTTCACACCCATACAGAACCACAGGCAAGAAGACAAAAGGTTCTGGACTAAATGGTAGGTAGCAAGCATTACCCGAGTTCAGTCTCCTCTTAATTTCCTCCTGAATCAAATTTTGGTTTGTTACTATCATCCTCAAATATTTGAACTGTGCCACATTTTCAAACCATCTGTTAGCTATCTTTATGTCATGATTTTGTATTGCATTCTGGTAATGCAACAGCAACATATACTTAGTTTTTTCTGTGTTAATTCTAGATCAGCCTCCTTACTAGCATCAATAGAAGTGTCTTTATTTATTTAAGCTATCTGTGTTATCACTCAGCAGATTCACATCATCAGCGTAGAGTTTAGAATATCCTGTCCAAATTAATTATTAATAATATAATTTTGATATGTTTTATTATGTCTATAATGTATATGGTATGAATAATTGATAGCTGGAAAAGTTCTGTCTTCTGTGATATAAGCCTGTGCAGTCCATTTAAAGTCATCTCTGAAGATGTTCTTGCAATGTGGTGGTTTCAACAGACTGGACAGCATTATGTCCTAGACAAAAGAACTCTTCATAACCACCCCTGTGTAAATCTCAAATCCTACAAATTGATAACTGTTTCATAACTTATCTGTGAGCTACAGATTCTCTGTTGCAACTGGCACACAGTGACTTCATATGAATACATGATGCCTGAGTATAAGTGATTGCCCATCCATAACTTATAAATATAAATGTCTTCCACTTAGTCACCCAGTCTCCTACAGTTTGCCCCAATCAGATTCCCAAAATATTTAAATCCACATACTTGTTTTATTGATTTACTGTTTGCTTTTTGTAGGGTTATTGCTGGACATTGTGTTTGTGAGTACTGTGAAAGCATTCACAAGACGCCGGAGACCATCAGGCAATCAGCCAGACATGTTCTCTGTAGTGGGCCCTGACAAGTTCTCCTTTCCTTCAGGTCACGCTTCAAGAGCCTGCTTCATTGCTCTTTTCTTTGTTTATCTGTATCCATTGTTTTTTATTTTTTATATGCCTTTAACAGCATGGGCAACTTCAGTATGTATCTCTCGCGTCCTTCTTCGTAGACATCACTTGTTAGATGTAGCAGGAGGCATACTGTTGGGCGTTTTTGAAACTGTGCTGTTGAGCTGGCTTTGGGTGTCAGAAAACTTTGCTGTTTGGGTAGTCTCTTGGCTGTCAGATGAGAAATTGCAAGGTGCTAGTTATCATGTATGAGAAGTGGGTAACAAAAATGTGCCTCGAGAGAGAAGTAGCAAAGTTTGAAGTGTTGACACTTCACTTTTCATATGATTTGCAACTGATGAAGGAAATAAGGTTAGTTCTAAAGTAGGATTATTTTATATTGTTCATAATCTGAGTTTGCCTTGTTCTCATATCACAAATCTTTACAGTATAAGGAAGTTAACTGTCTTTTGGGATGTCATGCTACGTAGTCATGAAGAAAGGTACAGAAATTCTGGAGGAACCTTTTGCCTTCATCTATAAGGTATAAGAATGCCTGAAGGTACAGGAAGCATGTTTGTTGAACATTGGTACCTTTCTACTGGATTGCGCAGTGTCACATCACAATAGAGTAATGTTTTGAATTTACCACTCTGATGACTTCAGATGTCTCAATTTTGCAATATAAGTTTGTAATTAAAATAATGTTCCTATATAATATTGGAGGCTTTCACGGCGGTGACTATGAAGAAAGCAGTCTTCTGGNATTCAGCATGGTTTTTGCAGATTTCACCAGCAAAAAGATGACAAACTAATATTAAAACATTTGAGTACCTTACCATCAAGCTTCAGTTGATGGTTGTGATTCAGAATATTATGTCATGGTGGCACTGCTTAATACTGTGATTTGTTGTAAATACAGTTTTCTTTTCCTGGCAGGAAGTTATAAAAATACATAATGGATATCTGACTTCTTGATATGTCTGTAAGTATTAACTATACATGCATGCTTTTCATTTATTATCCATTGTACCAAATAATCAGTACCAAGCACGAATGTTCATTTAATGGCCAGATCTTGTATGGCTGATATGTCTTGACTGTGGAGTAAACACATGCAGACCCACTTTGGTCAATTATCCCAGAAAACTAACTTCATGGAGCAGAGTCCTTCCTGAGAACTGAATAGTCGCTCAGCTATTGATAAGAAATTTCCTGCTTTTCATAGAATCTGTAGGTTCATTACCTTATTCATACAAGCCCCTGTCCTGAGCCAGATGAATCAAGTTCACACATCACATTCTATTTCTATTTCCTGCTTTCGACAGCTGCTTTCTCAAGACTCCAACTTATACTGAATACTGAAATCCTCCTGTACTAGTCCTGAAGAGAAAGAGAGTTACTTTACGACTGGTGGTTTACCGCCAATCGGTTTGTCTTGGCGGTAATAGTCCTTACGTAACGTCCTCTCTGATGAGAAGATGGGTCTGTCTCTTATGAATACACTCAACCTTTCGTCAAGTCCTGAATAGTGTTCGCTGCTCCTTATATAGGCTCGGCACGGACAACGTAGAGGACACGTTGCTGCTCGGCAGCAGATATCAGGTATTGTTGTCAGGTGTGCTTACCTATGCCTTGCCTAGCAATAGACACCCTACTGTTGCGTGACATCACAGCCTAGTGATGCGGGGTGTTTACCAAGCATTGTTACAGGATGAACACTCGTTGCTACGGACATTCCTACGCAATGGTGTCAACAGTTTCCATTGTTTCGCCGCTCAGCGATGGATGACATATAACACAATACATTATATATAATCATTTTTTATGTTGAAGAAAGCCGTCTTCTGGGATGTGGCACCATGTAGAAATTGTGTTAACCGACGTTTCGGAGGAACGTATCGCCTCCATCTTCAGGGTGGAAGACAGGAAATCCGCGAGCAAACCAGCAGAGCAGGTGCAACAGACTTGAGTCGAGTCGAGTAAACACAGCTGTATAAGAGAAGGAGAGAAGGAGTGTGGCTACATAGGGAAATAGAGAGGGGGAAGGGAAGGGTCTGGTGGAATAGCCAGCAGGTAGTGGGCCAGAGCTGGTACAGTGTATGTGTTAGGGAGAGAGAAGGGAAGGTTAAATGGAGGGCATTAACCCTGTAGCTCGAGGGTTGTGATGCACCTGAGTGGCCTATAGGGTCTGCCGTATTTCGGAGGTTACTTGAGGGAACAGATGAGAGGCTTCCATGACTTGCTGAGACAAAACCCCACCTCTCTGTTCATATTGTCAAGATGGAGTTCAATCTCAATGGCCTCCCTAATGATGCGATCCATATAACAGGTCTTGGTAGCGAGGATGGGGGTATTCTGAAGCTGAATGCGGTGTCCCAAATCGATGCTGTGTTCAGCCACAGCTGACTTGTCTGGATGTTCAAGACGGATGCACCACTGATGCTCCTGCAACCTCGTATTCACAGAACGGCCTCTCTGCCCAATATAGACCTTGCTGCACTCGCATGGGATACTGTATACGCCCTGTGTCCTTAGTCCCAGGCTATCTTTGACTGGCTGGAGGAAACCAGATAATTTCTTTGGAGGCAAGCCCACTGATTTGATGATGTGCTGGGAGAGCACTCTGCTAATACAGTTGAATATAGTCCCAACATAAGGCAGGAAGGCGGCTGAGTCTCGTGTATCTTCAGGCCGACGGTTGAGAACTCTGTGGATCTGCCAGTTGTTGTATCCGTTCTGGCTGAAAACATGCCCCAGGAGTGCCAGCTCTGCATGTAGGTTGTCTTGATCGCATAGAGCTCAGAGCATACAGCTCAAGCTGTACTTTCTGCATTGGTGCGCAGGGCTAGAGCTGTTAAGTGAATTGCACTCGTAAGTGCCATGAACAGAAGTTAAAATCTCAGTCCATAGTTCAGCTATCCTGACAGAAGTTTTTCGTGGTTTTCATCAGTCCCTGCAGGCAAATGCAAGGATAGGATGTCAAATTGGGTCATAATGGCTTCCTTCTCCATCATTTTCAGTTCATCCACTAATCCTGCCATTCAGCACTGTATAATCTGAGCTAATGACATTGTTAAGTAAACCATAAATAAGTAAATGACACACCAGGTTGGTCCATAATGGATGCTGTGATGACTGTATGTGTGAATGACCTTGTAATGGGTATTTCTTTTTTTGGAGTGCAGAGAACCATGGAACCCTCATCATGGCTAGATTGACTGATGACGTGTACTACAATCCCATTCATTTTTCTGTCAATCATGTTTCCTAGTGTGTATGTTAGTATACTGACAGAAAATTACTTGAAGTTTGGAGTGGAGTCATGTCGGATGTCATGTATATTGAATATGCTGCAAAGGATAGTGTCCAACATAATAGTTCCGATGCAGTGAGGCAACCATTATCAAGAATAATTACAGAATGAGTAAATTAAATCTTAGAATTTATATTCTGAATTGCATAACAGTTACGGATGCTACTTTTGTACCAAAGATAAATGGAGTATTTGTGTGTGTTGGAAATACGTGAGAAGCTGATTAATGTAAAGCTTCTTATCATCAGCAAAACTCTAATGATAAGAAGCTGATTAATGTAAAGCTTCTTATCATTAGAGTTTTGCTGAGATGTCTGATGTAGTGTGTGTGAAATGATAATTGTAAAACTATTGCATCTTTAAATGATGTTCATTCCAATTCATACACAACAAAATGTGTCTGGTTATGTTATACTTGTATTTATATATGATTCCATAAGAGAACATACTGAAAGAATAATTTTGAAAAGACCCCCCCCCCAAAAAAACAAGGGAAAAAAGTAGAGGAGGAGGCCCATGGGGTTATGAGAGGTTGAGGCTCCCACATTTTCTAGAAAGTCCACTCACAGATGGCAGTGAAGTTGTCAGCCTTATATGCCAGATGCCCTTGACCTCTCCCAGGAAGGTTCCTGGTACTCATTTCTGTTAGAGGCTGAGTTGATCCCAGGGCCATAGTGTGGCTGGACGGATTAGGTAAGTTGATAAAATCCACCTCTTTCAGACTCGAACTTGCAACCTTCTGGCTTATAGCATAGTGCCTCAACCAACTGTGCTACCACGTACCCCAGTAAGATCTCCCATGCCAAAAGAAATGTAAAATAACCCAGAGAACATAAGGTGATTGGGAAGACTACTGTAAAACCTGTATCAAGCTGACAGAGCCAGTTATTGGGAAGGAAAGTAATGTAATAAACAATTTTTCATACTGTTCTGTTATTTGTAATTAAGCCATTAAATTAATTTTCAACATACAATCTGAACTTGATTTTTTAAGTCAGTTGTCCAGTATTGTTCCAAATTACATAACCTATAATCCTGTGATACATGAAATTATCAAAGAAAACGTAACAAAGCAGCAAATAAATAAATATGTAGAACAGTGGCACTCAAGCAAAAATGACATGGACACATCATGAATAAATTTTTTCACAGCTACATTTAATTAAGAAAAACTGATGTGAATTTTCCACAGTGTGTGAGGAGTTATAGCCTTCACATGTGTAAAAGACTGTTTATGTAGTTGCTTAGTTTGTGTTTGCAAGGAAAAGGAAAGGAGGGGGGAATGACGGTATGTTTTTATGTTACTCATGAAAGTGGCCATGCTTGAGACTCAATAATTTAGACACCTTATAGCAAATAATATTTCGATTTCTATCATCAACTTAAAAATATGTATCTTCCAACATAGACTGTTGGTCTCAACCCGTGCACCAGAAGCCTTGATATCATTCGTTGTCATCCTTACTATAGTCAGTAACTTGAATCAGGCTATGGATGCATGCTTTGAAAGTTTTTATATTTTGCATGCATGATCATCCTATACCAGTGCTATCACCAAGTTCACCAATATTATCTCAAAGGCAACGCCATAGCTTAAGCAGTTAGTCGCTGGCTTCCTACCTTTGTGGTCTAGTCAAGTGGGATTTGTGATGGACAAAGTGGTGCTGGGGCAGGTTTTCCCTGAGTACTTCGGTTTCCCCTGCCAAACCTCATTCCATCAAATTCTCCATAAGCATCATCACCGGTACAGGTACAGTAGGACATATGGAAGCCAACTTGCCGAGGGGACCTAATATGGACTCCACCTCATACTATATGAACTATTGTAATCTACTGTAAACAACTGTAAGTATTGTAACATTGCTCTCTTATTGTAATCAGCCAATGTACAGTAACTGACTTGTCCTATATCATGTAACAATGACGAAAGAGACGAAATAAATAAATTTGACACTAACCAATGCAGTTAATGCAGCATTGCTATAGAAAATCATCCCATGTGATATGAAATAACCATTTCAAGTAATACAGCATTGTTAAAGTAAAATATGGACAAGAATATGAATTCATTATGTGCTTTTGTGAGCTGGCAACTCTGGCCAGTAATTCAAGATTTTGGCATTTTTGTCACCGTACGAGTAATCGAGTGGTTTAATGTTGCTGTTATTTGTGTGGGACTGCCTCTGTTGTCTAGTGGTCAGAGTTCCTGCCTACAGATTCAGAGGTCCCGGGTTCGATTCTCGGAGCTACCAGATTTTCTGAGAAGTAGTGGGTCAGGAATGGGGTCCAATCAGCCTTGTGAGGATGACTGAGGAGCTATTTCAAGGAAATAGCGGCTCCGGTCTAGAAACCCGAAATAAAGGCCGCTGGGATTCATTGCGCTGACCACGTAACACCCTCTGTCCGCTAAAGTTGGCACTAACTTCGCCGACAAGCGGCGGTCGCTCGGACGGTATAGTTCGCTTGCGGACTACAGACCACAGAGTTTGTTGTTTTGTATGATGTATGAACCGTTAAATTCTCCGTAAATGGGGGATTAGCGATGATTACTATTTAAGCACGCGATCCAGTGGTCGGGAATTGTTACAAACTTCTCGGCCACAACGATTAGCATGAAATGTTATTTGTAGTGTAACCATTTTTCCTTATGTGAGAAATTAATTGCTTATAAATGAGTGTATCCGTAATTTCTTTTTCTTCCGTTTGGCTGCCCAGCTTGTATCAGTGGGGAATTTACGTGTCTGTTGTATGGTGGCAATGACAAGTGAACTTAGCACGTGGGTAAAGTTTTAACACAAATTTGTTGTTGATCATATGATTGTAAAATATTATATTTGTCGTATGTGATACTAAAAAAAAAAAGATGTGAAATACTTGTGTGTGTGTGTGTGTGGAGTCACTGCTGATTATCACTACATCTAATGACGAGTTTACTAGCTCTCGTTTTTGAACACTGAATGAGTGCCAAGCATCAGTTTTCTAAAGCGCCTAAAGTACGTTGTTCCCAACCTCGACTTTCTGTGAATTATATTACAACTCTTCTTATTAACATGCTCAATTGTCGATTCGTTTCGATACTTCACGTTGTTAGCATGTACATGACTCCTGTTCATTACGTTATATGTTGTTTAATTTAGTGTCTATATTACAGAATTTCCATCTTTCGTCTGCTTAGTAGTTAGGTTAGGTTTAGTTGGGTTTGGTTTACTTTGCTTCAGTTAATTTTTTGCTTAAAGTAGCATAGTTTAATTTAAATGGCTCTGGATCTGGGTTGAATGGTATGATATGGAATCATTAAGCATTTCCATAGGATTCAGTAATTGCCTTATAGTTTTGTTGCAGAATAAATGATGCACATGTGAATACATAATAAATAGTCCATCTGTATTTGAAATATGGGAATAACATCAAATGAAAAGAGCTTTCCGAGAGGTGGAAAGAAACCTGCAGTTGCTGTGCCCAGGAAAGGACGTTTCAGAGTAAGTAAGATGACTGTGGATGTGCTTATTGATGTCCAGGTTGCTGCAGGAAGGGTCCACTCAATTTCACAACTGGTCTGTTGTACTGGTTTTAGCAGGAATTAAATGATGAGACTTGACATGTTATGTGCTGCATGAATGTGACATCTGGTGCCACAAGTCAGAATCTTAGCATTCAGTTATTATTGTTACTCAAGATGATATCAGAGCAGACAGATATGCAGCAAGATTGCTTTTTTCTTTGGGGGGGGGGTTTCCAGTTTTGAGATTGAGAGCTTTTCTGTAATTATTCAGATGGATCTCTTTGTCACCTTGAAGGATATTTTAATAATTTGACCCCTTTTTAGATATTCAGAAGTTCATTCTTGAAGATGCCAGCATTAGTACACTGCATAGTGCTGATACTAATGCATACATTCTTCAAGTCATAATTTACTTGTATATCCAGTGGCAGATGTGGGTTATTTATGTATGGTTTATTTAATGGCTTTGTCCATAGCTCAGATTAGATGTATAATGTCAAGTGGTAAGGTAAAGGTAAAGTTGTCCCTGTGCCTAACTGTGTAAGCACTAGGCCATGAAGGCCTAGAGAGAGAGAGAGAGAGAAGATGTATAGATCCACATTTTCTTGACCTCAGCACTAGCTGGAGGTGAGTGGTTGGGTTTATGCCCCTGCCACTTTACCCCAGGGGAAGGATCCCCCTGTATCCATTGGATAGAAGGTTTGGTGGACCCCAGAGCTGGTCTGGACAACGAGGAGAAGACAAAATTCTTGACCCTATCAGCACATGAACTCTGACCCCTTGGTCATCCAACCCATAGCCAGTCACTATACCAACTACACTATCCTGGCTCTTAGGCACAATAGATCACTGTGGTTGCGGTGCAAGGGCCAAGAAGGCCCACCCCTTATACATCCTGGCTCTTAATAACAAATGGTAGGATTATTAATGAATAATGAATTGGAAAGGATGTGGAAGAAGGGGATCATGGCTAATTTGGGTTAGTATCCCAGCATCTGCCTGAAGGGACTGAGAAATACCATGAAAACTTGAGGGGTTGCTGCTCAATGTGCTTTTCTTTGAAGCTGGGATCTTCTGAATGCAAAGCATGAATATTACTTAGTTGACATTTGTGGAATTGGAGGTTAATTGTGGACAGAAATAGAGGCGTCAGACTGTTGAAGCATGGGTGTGAGGTGAAGGTGATTTTAGAGTTCTCCCTGTGGTCAAATAAGTGTCATGCCATGAAGTTGTTGGGCAGTGGAATTGTAGTTCCATGCGTGCTTAACCTCATCACTTGATGTAGGTTAGTATTTTATGAAATACAGGATTAGAACTAGCACTGGAACAGATGTATATGTTGAGAGGATATTATGTTCCAGGCTGTTTTGTAATGTGCAATATGAATTATATGTGTTTAAATAATTTGGAGTTTCCTATATTTTAGGAGGTAAAGATACTATTATGTCCTTATACAGTGTGTGTATTTAAGTGATTGATATGTTCATATATTTGCCACAGTTGTTTGACAAACCAAGGACTAGCTCTCACTCAAAGAGGGCTCTGAAGACGAGGAACAAGGAGCATGGAACAAGTGCACAGTTGAAATTGACTCATGTAGAACCACTGACACTTAAGGTAACAAACTTTTTATTATTCATTGTACATCTGTGTTGTTTGAAAATAGTGGAATATATTGTCTTATAGGAGGTAGGTAGAAGTTGTTTTCTTCATATGTCAGAACTCTGTTGTAGGGGTAAGTTTTGTGTGCCCAGACTCTGCAGCGGCAGACAGTTAAGGATGCAGGGTAATAGTAGACAAGAGTGTTCTCCCTGAGCTACTGCCATAATCTGGTGAGGAAGTCAAGAAAACTTGTCATAAGGCAGCACCAAAGTTGAGGAACATGGATTGTGCTTGACTGGCTCTGCCCACTGTTCCTTCAGCTGTCCATGCTGTAACAAGTTACCATTCACTGTTCCTTTAGCAGTGTGCACTTGGACAACCATGAGAATTCTCTGTGGTAAAATACATGGCCGTGACATTTGTCACGTCAACCGGTTATAATGAAGACTGAGACAGTCTCGAAAACATTGGGTATTAACTCCACATTGACATGTGTATGTGTGTATGTCAAGTCAAGAAATTTACCAAAAATTAAAGCAGTCTATTATCACTGTGTTACATATGTTTTATTTAGTAACTGCTACATGTTTTGATCCGTATTTGGATCATCAGACAGTATTCTTAAATACGTCATTATTGAATTATCCTGATATGAATCAATATTAGTGTTAATTGGGGGGGGCACACAGTAGTATGGTTGGTTAAGGCACTGTGTTACAAGCTGGAAGGTTACTTGTTTGAGTCCCAGTGAAGTGGATTTTTTCAATTTACCTAATCCTTCCAGCCACACTATGTTTCTGGAGTTGACTCAGCCTCTAACAGAAATGAGTAACAGGAATCTTCCTGGTGTATAAGGCTGACAATCTTACCACCATCTATGAGCCGATTGCCTAGAAAAAATGTGGGAGCCTCAATGTCTCACAACCCTATGGGCCTGCACCTTTTATGAGTGTTAATTGTTAAAATTATTATGATACGTGTATTTTTGACTAAATTTTTTATATATATATGTGTGTGTGCGTGTGTGTGTGTGTGAGAGAGCAACTACATGGAAGAAAAGCCCCATGTGTTCAGTGAAATCTGTGATATGGCGATTTTGGTTCCCATCGCATGTTGAAAATGAAATCTGTTAACTTTCTGATGATGTGACAGTCCTTATGATGGTGATGCACCCTTACAGATGATACAATCTCCATTCTGATATTCAGAATTTGTTTACCTCTCTGAACTAGTCTTAATTTGCATACTCTGTTTATATTTATACTTGTCTTGAGTTTATACTGAGTTGGCATTATTTCAGACCCTTTCAGAGGGCATGCTAGTTCTCGGCTGTGTTTCTGAAGTTCAGGAATACAATATCGTGGTGTCTTTGCCGGGCAGGTTGATAGGCCATGTTCCTGTCACCAATATATCATCACCTTACACGAAGTACCTGAAGGACCTGGTAGATGGAGCTGCTGTGCAAGAGGTACGATGTTATTAATGAAACAATTAACTGTTAACCTGTGAAATTCCTGTACAGAGAGGTACAGTCTGAAATTTATGAAAGCTGATTTATTTCAGGGGGCGGTGAAACTTGGTCAAGCCCACATGCTGCCTCTGTCTGCAGGGTTATAGTGTAATCCAAGCAAGAAGTTGGTATCAGGCAGAACTCTGCTTACCCTTTGACCCTGAAGATGGAGGCAGTACATTCCCTCATAATGCTACCAGACTAAATGGTATCATATCCCAAAAGACAGTACTCTTCAAAGAAGCCTAACCTACCTTCTAAATATGGCTGTTTAGAATAAATGAGCATTTGATTAAATGTTATTTTGGCTGCTCAGTCTACTGATACAGTTCTGTTGCGTTTTACAGAGAATATCTCAGCTAGATGAAATGTTTCATATCGGACAAGCTGTAGTGACTCGAGTGATTGAAATCAACCGTTCTTCTGAGTATCATGCTAAGGTGATACTGAGTTTGGTTCCTGATGTTGTGCAGTCTGATTGGTCACCTAGGTCAGTGACATGTGGCTGTGTTTTGATAGCTGCTGTGAAGAGTCAGGAGGAGAATGGTTATATTATGGATACAGGCATTAAAAATGTCCGAGCTTTTCTCAAGAGATCTGCTGCACTTAAGTATGAGAAGATATGGAACCGAAAGAGATTATTAGGTGAGTTTTGTGCGAAAAGTATCAGTTACCACATTTTTAATGGAGTTATGTTGGTAATATTTTGTAATGAATTTAGAGGTTAAAGAACTTATATTTAAATTTGCTTTTTAATGTATATGGATTCTGTTTTTTCCCTTCTTGTTACACCTGCAGCATTTTGTTAAGCCTTTTTCAAAGCTGAAAAGATGCTGTAGATAGAAATTTCAGGAAACACTGCATTAAATGTTTATCAAGTTCTACTGGCCAGTTTAGGATAACAAAATATGAAATAATATTTATATATGACTGTAGCCTAACCTAACCTAACATGTCAAAGCACCGAGATATATGTACATGTGTAGCATGGCAAGGATTAAGACTTGCATGGAGATATGACAGTTGAGCCAGTACAGTGACTCGCTATGGAATTGAGGGACAGAGTTGATTACTTTTTGTATCCAGGACTCACCAAGACTCCTGTTGAGTGGTGACCTTGGGGTTGTTCCTAGCTGGTGGAGTGGAGGGAGTGTGACACTGATAACTAATTTCCATCTGTTATATCTAGAATGTATGGAGATTTACCTTCACATCCTGTCATGATATGGTATTTAAGCATAGGGGTAACTTTACCTTAACTTAGGCATGTGGTACCTCCTACCAAATATCACAGTCAAGTTTCTAGCACTGTTGCTCCTTATTTGTGAAGTCCCAAGTTGAGATCTCAGCATGGAGACCAGCTATGCTGATTGGGGTTTTTCCTGGTTTTGCTGTGTTCCACAAGGCATGTACTGAGATAATGCATTAAATTCAGCAATGATTGCCTGTTTTCACATCCTTTCCAATTAACTTTCCACAAGTCCTATTATTCAGCACTGTATATCGAGAGCAACTGATGGTGTCATTAAATACACCATGAATCAGTACATAAATCCTGTTAAGATTATGGTACTCTGTGATGTGTCTTCATACAATTTTGTAGGCAGGTACTAATATCAGAGGAACCTGCAGCTTCCATCTTCAGGGTAGATAAAAATGCAGGCAGAACATTCCTCTGATGCGTTGATACCTCTTGATGAAACTAGACTGTGTCAGCCCAGACGATGCTAATATTCTCACCACTGAGAGAATCCCAGGTCTTGGGTATGCATGGCTTCATCCAATTTTATTACAGGGGTAGGTCACCTGATGAGGTGCCTGGTGACCAAGTCAAGTTTCATGTCCTTCACTGCAACTGTGGAATTGTCAGCTGACCCAAAGAAAGTCACGAAAGCCGTGGCAGATCTGGATGATGTAACTGTGGACATGTTACTCCCTGGCACCTTGTTGAGTGTTTCAGTCACAAAGGTAACAGGAACAATGCTGAGCTCAGCGCTGTTTGACAGTGGTGTTGCATGATGTTTAAGGCTATTCTCTTGTTCATAGTCCAGCATCCTGGATTTTTATATAACTTTTCGGGGACAGTTTCTGTCTTCAGGCAGAAAACTTATGAAGGCAATCCTCATATATAGACACACACACACACACACACACACAGGAGGTCTGGGATTAAAATCTTTGTCTGGATATCAATGCTGACTAAGGTTTTCATGGTTTTCCTTGGTTCCTCCAGGCATATACAGGGTAGTACCACAAATCAAGTCACAACCACTTTTGTACATACCAGTTCAAGCCCATTATTCAGTGATTTTCGTGCCTTTCGATCCTGTACAGCTTGAGTTATGGACAGTATCTGTCATTAAATAAGGTGTAAATAAAATATTAGGATTTTTGACTATGCACTGTAATAGCTCTACTGTGGATTAGATTTGCAACAATAGGATTATATTTGGACTAAATCAACATAAAGTCATCTCCTTCTCAGATATTAGAATTGTCAAGTCAGGGGAGATGAGATGGGCCATGCAAGTAGTATCACGGGATAAAAGAGAAATGCAGGCAAATGTTTGCTTGGAAATTTAAAGGAAAGGACCATTTCAATGATGTGAAGGCATTGCTGGGGTGATGATCTTGAAATAGATGTTCAAGAAATGGGACAGGAGAGATGTGGACTGGACTCATTTGGCTCAAAATTTGAGCAGTGGAAAGCTCTTGTGAGCATGGGAATGAACCTTCAGACTCATAAAATTCAGGGAATTTCTTGATTTGCTGAGCAACTGTTAGCTTCTTAAGAAGGGCCCTGTTCTTTGAAGTTACTTAGTAAAAGACCTCTGAAAGGTGTTAAATTGCAAAGGATGCATTTGGAAATATGTATGTTCAAAACTGGAATGTATCCATTTTTCATATTTGAATTGTAATAAAAAAAATCCTTGATATCTTGGTGGTGATGCTTAGGTACTTAAGAATGGACTGGAAGTGAAGTTTGACAAGCACTTGGTGGGCTACATCCATAAGGACCATCTGACAGCACTGTGGGATACACCTGAAGACTATTCTATAGGGGACGACCTTCTCGCCAGAGTTCTATATGTTCTGCCCACAGTCAAGTTTGTTTATCTTTCCTTAAAAAAGGAACTTTGTGACCCTGAAGCAAACTGTGCTCCACATGACTCTCTAAAAGTTGGAAACGTTGTCAGAAAAGCAAAGGTAAGTTAAAACCTTGGTGGAATTGGTTTAATGCTCAGTGTTTGCACCCACATGCTTCAGCTTCAGTCTCATCCTCATGTCAGAACTGCGTCCGGTGCAGGAACTGGGGATGCATGCCATAATGACATCAACAATAACATGCTGACAGTGTGTTGTCCAGCCACCAAACAGCTTGGACCTGCAACCAAGCGACTTCAACTTGTATATATCACTGAAGGAGGACACTTCTGACATGAAGATAAGATCAAAAGCTGAGGTGTGCAGGAGGTTGCAAGCACTGAGCCATGATTTCTTCTCTGTAAGAAATGAAATGTGGTGTGCCAATGTGACAGATGTCTCAATTAGTCTGACAATTATTTGGAGAAAGTTTTTTATTTCTTGTCCCTTTTAATGTGTATGTCAAAGTAACACATCCTCAGATGATATTTATTGAATGGGCTACGTGTGTTAAGTTAAAGATTTACGAGGCCTGTCCAGTCTCCATGCATTGTGCAGGCATAAAATATATTGTATAACATTTCTTTCAGATTGAACATGTGGACAGCTGTGGTATCACAATAAGTATAAAGATGGAGGCAGATAACCTAAAAGGATTTGTCTCCATTCAGCATTGCTCCCTCAATAGCTCTGAGCTTGATAATAACAAGTCGCTGAAAGAACAATTAAGTGAAAGATTTGCAGTTGGTACCAGTCATAAGTGCAAAGTGCTTGCATATGATTATGTGTCACAGGTGTTCATTTGCAGCCTTGACAAGTGAGTAATCTCCATTACCTACTAACAAAAGTGTCTGTGACAGTATACACTTACTTTATTAAAGTTTTACAATATCTGTTACATTCTGCTGTCTTTTAGTGTTCTAAGTAACTTGTCAGTGAGCTCTGTTCAGATAAAACTTCAGGTTCAACAATGTTAATAACAAAACCCACCATCGGACACAATCCTAAGCCAGTTCCAACCACTCAGCCCCTCCTCAGTCTTCAGAGTGTCTGGTTTCAAAGAGATATCCTCACAAACACTGCATTTGCAGCCTTTATCATCCTAAATACATCTCCAGACATCATACCTTCACCCTCATCACCTCCATCTAAGTAAAAGTAAGACTTTCTGTCTTCCATCAGAAGGCTTCCGCCATTAAGTCTCTCAATGTACTGCTGTTTGTGGTCATGAGCTGAGTGTTATATATTTGGTCCTTACATTCCTTGACACCTCCTATGGCAGTTCTTGTATAGGAACAATAAATGGCAGGAGCTTCTTTGTTTTTCAGTACTAAAGCAACTCTTTTTTCGTAATTTTCTCACAAATTAATTTATAGCTGACGGGAAATGGCATGGTGCTTAGGAACAGGGTTGTACCATGTGTGGTTTTTATGTGAGATAACCTGTCTAATTTTCAGGCGCATTATAAAGGCAAAGTTTTTGCACCCGAAGGATCTGCACCCAGGCATGGTGGTCCCATGCGAAATTAAGGAGCATGTACAGAATGGTGCATTTGTTGTCATCGATGGAGGTGGAAAGTCTCTCACAGGCTTTGTACGATCCCTGCATCTGGGCAGTGTTCCTTTTCAGCATCCTGAAAAGAAGTTTCCGGTGGGAAGTCAGTACTCTGCTCGGGTAAGAATTTTTTGATTTGTTTTAAAATCAGAATGTTTGTCTGAACAGAACAGCCTTATAATTTTGTTTGTTCCTTCATTTAGTTGCTTTTTTTATATGTCCGTTGCAAGAAATGCATAGCGGGAACAGAGTGTGGAGGTCACTTCTGTCAGTCTGTGTTTCAAACACAAGAATTGTTTTAATGGATTTCAATGAAACTTAACCATAATGGTGCACACTAGTAGCTGTCAGGAGAATGTAATCTAGGTCCAGGTGAGTCCACTACAATCATTAGGCATGTGCAAGCCTTGAATTTCATGTTGGAATCAAAGAAATCTTGGTTTTAAAGTTGATTTTTCAGTCTCAAACTATGAGAGCTTTTATATAACTGCTTTTGCTTTATGCAATGATACATAAACTATCTGTTCTATCAGAACTATAATAGTTGGCAACTCTGGCACCAGTCAACTCATCAACAGAATCTGTATCCCCCCCCACACTTTTCTCACCATGGTTAAGAGGGGCATGGTCCTAGAACTTTTAAAAATACAATGATGTCTGAAAATAATTCACTGATGAAGGATCTGATATCAAAAGGGATAAGTAGTACATATTAATGCAATGTGAAAAATGGCTAGGATTGCAGGTTGTGATTGCAGTGAAAAAATTGGTCTGGCAGAGAAAATTCTCATTCTGGTTTCGGTTGTCAAAATTTTTCCAAATTCTTGTCCCTGTATCATCTGAAACTGAAGAAGTCTCTCTCTTGTACACCTGACAATCATATTCCAGTGATAACTTTTTTTTGATTGATAGTGGGGTGGGACTAAGTCCCTTGTACTGCGACCACTTCTGGAATATTGTACCAGCCCCAGATGATAGGTGAGGGTGATTGTGGAGCAATTGGTGGAATGAAGATTGGCAGGGGAAACCGAAGTAACCTGCCCCAGCACCAGTGGGAAGCATGTGACTAACCGCTTGAGCTGTGGCGTGGCCCAGCGATTACTTAATGCTGGAAATGTGTGCTATCAAGTCTGAGAAGTATTTAACCTTGATCCATGTTGGGCCAGTATAATCATACTTCATGTGAACCTAAGTTCTCTTCGGTGGCCATGTTTTGGAGGAATATGCTGCCTCTGTCATCAGGGAAAGAGAAATGAAACAGATACTTAACAAAATATGCTCTATATAAAGTGGGGTTTACACAGGATGTCTGTAAAATCCCGATTGTTTTGGGTTTGCCAAGTCACGATTTTCCAGTAGCTCCAGCCTTGTGAGATTTTCTTTCAAACTCTTCTTCAGTTTTTCTCTTTGATTCTAAGTGATGCTTCTACCACATATTTTTGAAGCTTCTATTATATTACTGATCGCCTCTGTGGTCTAGTGGCCAGAGTTCCTGGCTCAAGATCCTGAGGTCCCCGGTTCGATTCCCGGCGCTAACAGATTTTCTGAGAAGTAGTGGGTCAGGAACGGGGTCCACTCAGCCTTGTGAGGATAACTGAGTGGCTGTTTCAAGAAAATAGTGGCTCCGGTCTAGAAAACCAAAATTAACGGCCAGGGGGATATGTTGCGATCATCACGCATCACCCTCTATCAGCAAAAATTGGCACTGTCTTCGCCGACAAGCAGCAGTCGCTTGGTTGGTATAGTTTGCTTTCGGACTCAAGCCATGGAATTTGTAGTTTGTTTTTATATTATTTTACTAAGTTAGACAGGAAGTTTATCGACAACTTTTACCGTCCCTCTGATACAAAATTTTAATCAGAATCGGTTCAGTAAATATTGGCTGCTAGATAGTTGGAATGACCTCCCTTTCATGTGCTCATTTTGTGTAATAAGCATGTGGCCGCCTTTGACTGAGGAGTTCATGCTGTGTGTTGACAGGTGCTTCTGGTACAAGGAAATAAGATACAGCTGACACTTAAACCAGTGTTGCTGACCTCAGAGGTGCCTCCTCTGTCTAGATTCGAGGATGCTCAGCCAGGAATGCTGTGTGAAGGCGTAGTTACATTAGTGCTGAAGACTGGATTGCTACTTACATTCTACGGTAATGTGAAGGGGTGGCTCAGAGTTAAAGAGGATACTGAAAAGAAGAAATATTTTATTGGGCAAGTGGTAAGTTTGTTGTCATTAGCACAGGAAAATTTGCAGTCTATTTCAGTGAAAATGCAGCATTTGTGCTGTAATTTAAAAATATTGTATGGACATGATTGTAGTATTACCTTTTAGCCAGTTTATTTGCAAGAACCCTGCTTCATGATTGCAAAAGGGGAACCTTTTGTCTCTCTGGATGTGCCATCTCTGCAACTATTGAAGTGGGGGGGGGGACTGCTGTAATATTTCTTCATGTTCATTCAATGTAAGCCTGTTCCCCCCCCCTTCTTTCGCTCTATGTTGCTGTTCCTCTTATTCTTCTTTATCTTCTGCTATGTCTTCATCTCCACCTTCACCCTCACCTTCTCTTCCACCTGTTCTTATTCCTTATCTGCTGCTACCTTCTCTTCCTTCCATTTCTCCCCCCTCCACCCCTTATCTCATTTTCTTTCTTCATCTCCTCCCCTCTTCTTTTGTCTCCATCTTCTTGTCCCCCACCCTCATATTCTTGTTTCTTCCCACAATCATTCTCTGATTTTGAAAGCAGTATCTTGCTGGGCCTGTCACAGCTTCACTATAGCTGCATTTTCGATGCATCTGAAGCTTCATTATAGCTCCCAAGAAGTAGCTCGTCATGTGGAAGATTTGCATGTATCAACACTTATGCATCCCCTGAAAGTTAACATTATTTTCAGGTCCCTTGTTACGTACAGACAGTAGATGTGACCAATGGAAAGCTGACGCTGAGTCTGAAGCAGAGCAGCACAGCAGATGAGAGAACTTCTAAAAAGAAGAAGAAAGCATCTGCAGTAGGAAAGACATACCAATTAAGTGTTACCAACTGTACAGATGTTGCACTGGAAGTGGAGAGTAAGCACAGCCCTTTGTTTGTGATGTTGCCCTTCTCAACAGAATTCACAGAAGATTTGATCACATCCACACACTGAGATAAATGTTGCAGAGTGTGCGTGGTTTATCACACAGCCATAGTTATAGTATGTCACCCTTCCTCCCTCTCTAAATGCAGTTGCACCCACTGCCCTTTTCCCTTTCACTTCTTGTCATACTTGTCATCATGTTCAACCCAGAGGCCAGGTGTAAGAACATGGCCCTTGCATGATCTTAGGATATTTGAATCATGAGCTTGCTATTCCCTAGCATAGGAGCTTTTTTGAACAGCTGGTGGTTGTTTAACCAGTTTATAAATAGACTGCTTCTATGAATGGTGAAGATTAATTGCTGTATTCACAAGACCTAGGCATCATCTTCATTTGAAGTTGAAGTGAGTTTACATCTAATACCTTATTTCTCAGAAATTAAACATGTAATTTGTGCTCAGTTCTCATCTCCAATAAGTCTAGTTTTTGAGATAGTCAGATTGGCTACTGTAAGTCCGTTTCTGAATTTCTGAATTCAACATCTTTGTGTTTTAGTTATTCATGCATCTTTCCCTCTTTATTAGCACAGACAGTTGGGAGTATACTGTACCTGGGCCTTCACATATGTGAATGTTACTCTCTCCTGTGTATGAGATTTTGAGTATACAGATGTTCATTCAAGTGGAGTGAAATGTTTCTGATATGGACAAAGTATTTTGAATGCTTTCATGTATGTATAAGATACTTCTCTCAAAACAGTCTGCTCTTGGCCCCAGATTATATCCTTGGTTATGCATCAAATACCAGGAGGAACAGAATTTATAGTCAGTTCTGTATTTTTCCTCTTTGTGTTTTGAACGTTCCTGTTTCTTGTCTCCGCCAGAGACTGGCTATGCTGACTGAGGGTGCTGTATTGTTGCACTCATTGCCTTCAGGCAAAATCTGTGGTTAGTGCCTTCAAATAATCCGATCATTCCATGCTGTAAGACTTTTGCAATTGAAACCGAATCATCAGACTTTACTGGCCATACATTGCGCTGTTGTAATTGCTAACATGCAGTGCAGGTGGTCAAATCATTAATTTTTTTCAGTACTAATGCCTTTATCCCCAGTTTAAAATAAGCTTCCAGCCCTATAAAAATATGAGATGCGAAATTTCCTGTTCCCATATGAAAAAATTGTTACCCCTGAATTAAAATATGATGACAAACTCTACAGTACCAGATTTCAAGTCCCTCTTCCCAGATGAAGAAATTTAAATAACCCTAGTGTCATTCTGTACCTGTGTCAGTATTCTTTGTCTCATCCTCTTTGGTGTGAATATACCATTTCTGTTCCTGTCATCTTTGTTCAGGCAATTCTGGCAGCGGAACGGTGCCTGCACAACACTTGACAGATAACCCAAATCTGGCCCAGCTGTTACTGAGAACATACACCCCTGGAGATGTTATTGATGATGCAGTCTGCTTTAGTGAAGTTGACGGTCTTGTCTTCACAGTGCGTCCCTCACTGAGAGAGTATTTTAAGGTGAACTGTTAACCAGAATCTTATTTATGCCTCTATTGTGTAGTAGATTTAAGACAGTTTAAGCACAGGGGTCATTAAATGGCCACCCCTTTGATCTGAGTTTTAGCCGTGGTAAGTAGGATCCACACCGTACATGTGTGTTTGGACGTGATATCAGAATCAAGGACTTCATTTATTTCACATAATATTTAACCCCTTCTGTGCTCTTTTATTGAATGAAACTTATGCCTTTTATTGTAAAAAGTAAAAGTAAAGCTATCCCTCTACCAGGCCGTGAAGGCCCATAAGGTTGTGAGATATTGAGGGTCCCACATTATCTAGACAGTCGGCTCAAAGATGGCGGTAAGGTTGTCAGCCTTACACACCCAGCCACGCTTTACTCCCCAGGAAAATTATTTAATTAATTCCTGGTACTCATTTCTGTTAGAAGCTGAGTGAACCCCAGGGCCATTGTGCGGCTGGAAGGATTAGGTGAAGTGAAAAAATCCAATGACCTCATTGGGACTTACTGTCACAAACACCAAATTAATATGTATTAGAAGGGTCAGTGTTTCCAAGCAAGGTAATCTCACACACAGAATGGAAAGGGTTAACCCTTTAAGGTCCATGTATTTTCAACACATGACACCTCACCAGACACACTTTATTTTACTTAATTTTCAAAACTGTTTCACTGGGTGTGGCAGAGAATCTTCCTGAAAATGGAAGCAGCAGAATACTCCAGAATGTTACAGAGGATATCTAGTGTACTGTGTCTAAAACGTCTTTGTTAGTGCATCATCAGTGGATCATACATCATCATTATAAAGTTACCAAAACCATCATACTTTAGATCTTGTTGAACCTGCAGGACTTTCTTCCATAAGGTTGTCAACTCATTGTATGATGTACCCCACCAAAAGATGTTTTAAACAAAGTATAATGCCTCAAAAATTTTGTAACTTACCCGCAGAATTAGCTGATAAGTTAGTTACATCTGTTTTTCTTTCTCACCTGATCCCTTTCACTTTTGACAGCCCTATTCAATCCAGAAATGGTGTATATTTTATGCCTGTGCTCTTCTGGCTGCATTTGTTTTACCAAACTGCTGACAGGGCTCTGTCTCTTCTGTCACACATTTCTGCATGTTGGGCCAAGCCATAGCTGAAGTGGTTATAGTTGCTGGCTTCCCACCGCGGCGGCCCGGGTTCGATCCCATGTCTGGTCAAGTGGGATTTGTGGTGGACAAAGTGGCGCTGTGGCAGGTTTTCTCAGAGTATTTCGGTTTCCCCAGCCAATCTTCATTCCACCGATTGCTCCACAATCACCCTCACATATCATCTGGGGCTGGTACAATAGGCCAGAAGTGGCCGCAGTACAAGGGACTTAGTCCCACCCCACTAGCAAAGCAATAATTCTGCATGTTCTTTCTGGTTCATTCTCCACTGGCAGAAACAAGTTCACTGCTTTTGGCTCATAATGCACATATCTGCTTAGTGCCATAGTGTTGACTGTACTACTGTCGTAGTTTAGCTCCCACTGTGTGTGGCAACCAGCCTGAAGTGCTTGTTGCTAGTGAAGGTTACCTCTCAACGTTTGTGTGACCTGGATGGTTGAAGGACTGGGTGGGAACATAGGGTGGTATATAGGAGGAGTACCTCCAGGTTGGGGGTTAGACACAAGGCTGACAACCTTACTCTGTAAAAAAATTATTGTTGTGAAATCCAGAGAAGTGAAAACCAGATGGTGCAATTCCTAGGAATTTACAGAATCTTGTGAGGAAGGCTACAGCTGAAAAAGGGCTGTTTTGCCTGTGATGGGGATGTATAACAGCTGAAGGGAGAGGGGAGGGTGTCAGTTCCTGGAACTTCTTTATGTGTGGTGAGTGTAGCTCACAGCAATGTGTCTGTCAACATTTTTCCAACCTCGAACCTGGAAGTAAGATCATTAAATCTTACACTATTCTTCGGAGGAAAAAACGAAACTCCAGATGAACTTATGGGGGCATTTCTTTATGATTTCCCCTCATAAATTATTGCAGTGTGCAGAGTGCTAAAATCCAAAGGATTTATGACAGTTCTGATTGTCAGTTTATGTGATATTTCAGGCGGAAGTCAACCCTTTAAAGCACAGTGATTATTCAGTGTATCACCAAAGACTCTGCATGTTTTCCATACAGTGTACTCATATGTTCCATGTGGTTCCCTAGACAGAAACTATTTCTCTAAACAGAACTAACCAGCTGGGTTTTGTGATAGAGATGCACTCTGTTTCCTGTGATGTAGGAGTGGCATTTTAAAATATTATATAGATGAACATGTGTCCATGTAAGAAGGTCATCTATTGAGGGTACAGATATAAATTGCGGTAAGAGTTTTATCTCGTGGAATCTGATGATGTGTAGTCCAGTGGAAGTCCAGTATTTCAGACGACCATATTGCTTCCATCTTCAGGTTCAAGGAGTAAGCCAAGCAAGAAGCATTTGGTTGTTACTGGACTACACAGGGTCACATCCCAGAAAATAAATGAAGCATTCAGTTGTGTTGCATCACTCTTTCATTTCCAGTCTAAAGGTTCAGCGAAGAGGACACGAATCCGTGAGAAGATGTTACTGCCATGTACTGTGAGAAGTATCATGCCCAAACAAGTGACATTACAGTTGCCATTGCCTGGGTCCAACATTACACATGTTAAGTCGAAGGTGAGTGCCTAACATTGCCATAGAAAGAGTAATAGGAGAGCCCCATATTAGTGGAAACCTCAGATCTCAAAATGGAGACCGGTGGAAAGTATTTCTTGAGATTGGCCTCAGGAATTAGACCATGTGGGAAATGAATAAATAATGGTGGAGTTAAGAATCATGGTGATATCTGTTAAGAGGAAGTATATGAGGTGCTTACCTTCATACCCCCTGTTGGTACAGGTCTGTACTGGAAATTAAAGAGAGTATTTATTACTTGGGGAATTTGTGATCCTGTCATTACATCTCACACATTTCCTTTCACAAAGCAAGTCATCTTCTGGGATTTGAAGCCGTGTAGATATTATGTTAACTGATGTTCGGAGGAACATATCGCCTCCATCTTCAGGGTAGAAGAGAAAAGAAAATCCACGAGTGAGGAACCAGCATGGGCAGGTGCTGATAGATGGCTTTCTTCATAGTCACCACTGTGAAAACCTCAGATCTTTTTTCACTTTTCTAATTCCAGGACCTGTGTAGTGTAGGTGTGAAAGATGCAACTCAGCTTGGTCTGGTAGATCATCAAGGTTTGATGTCTCAGGTTGTAAAAGTTTACGGTTCACACGAATGCCCACATGTAACAACTAAACTTTCTCAATGCTGGGACTACAGTACAGAGGTAAGTGTACTGTGACAATATATGTAACCGTATCGTAGGTGACGGTCTCCTGGGATGTGACGCCATACAGTTTGGTAGAGAGGTACCTGTGTTTCAGAAGAACCTGCTGCCTCCATCTCTGGAGTAGAAGAATGACCCTGCAGATGGAGTCAGCAGGTTCCCCTGAAAGAGTTTTACTTATTTACCATAGTCCAGTGCATTCCATTCTCAATGTCCATAATCTCAGTACTGCAGTGACAATCCCAGATCTCAAAATTATATTGTTAATTTTTGTGACTCATATGACCACCAATGTTTCCACAGATTCACAGAGAAGTGACTTAAATGTATGGCGGTTGTCTCCATATCTGAATAAGGAGGGTAATCTGTGTGCCATGATCTTTGCAGGCATGTGTATCTCTTCTGTGCAGCTTCTGGCAGGATTATGATAAGATTGCTGCACACATGAAAGAACAAGGCAATCCTTTGGCAAATCTTGTGCCTGGTGACCGAGTCACAGGAGAAGTGGTCGCTGTGGAGAATTGCGGTGCTGTGGTGAGGTTGGAGAATGGCATCCAGGGCATAGCTACACCTGAGTTATATAAAGGTGTGTAGTGGAGCTGTCAGAACTGCAGTGCCTTTAAAGTATGATTCTGATGGTTGTGTAAGTGGCATTTCTCTGTGTTTGTGGCTAGTCAAAGCATGAAGTAAACATCAGCATAAAATCTCAGCTAAAGGAGAGTGTATGGCTGTTTGTTTTTTCTTATTCATTTCCACACCATGCACCTACTTCAGCCAAACTTGGTATGTTTATGAGAGCCATCTGGGGCTGGTCACACAGTCACACCATACATCTCAGAGAACCATTTTAATATTACTCCATCTATGCCTAGGTTATTGGCTGTCCTATTTCCTTGAGGTTTACAACAACATCGTCATTGCCGTTATCGTCATCATTGTTGTCATCATCATCGGCAAAACAGCCCTTTTTGAGCCATAGCCTTCTTTGAAGATTACACCATCTAGTTTTCACTTTGGATTTTTTATGTTTTTTATAGAGCGAGTTCATTGGCCTTGTATCCAACCCCCAACCTGGAGGATCAGGTTCCTCTATTTATGCCTCCCAGTGACATGGTGGCTCAGTTACACCTGCAGACACTGGGTTCCCTTTTCATCACATTGTAATTGCTCGCAGGGCTATGGTGGGGTATTCTAAACTGCCTCCATGGGGGAGGGGGTTCCTGTGGGTTTTCTGCTGCAAATTTTTCATGCATATTTCATTTTTCTCATGTGTGTTTCACATACTCACCCTCGATTTGATAAGAGTGCAAGTTATGAAATATCTAAGTTTTGAGGTTTTCACGGCGATGACAATGAAGAAAGTTGTCTTCTGGGTTTAGGCACCGTGTATTCTTCGTTTTGGCCGACGTTTCGGAGGAACATAGCGCCTCCATCTTCAGAGCAGTTGAATAGCTGCGGAGAGCAGTAGCTGTGGTGATAGGATGTGGAAGGTGCTACTTATATACGAAGTAGGCAGGGGGGTTGGTTAGGGAGAACGGACCAATGGGAGCAGTGGAGAGCGATTAAGGCCATATATGGTGTGTGACTAAGGGAGAGGGGGAACGGCCAGTGAGGACAGGAAACTGAGGGCAA